AACTTCTTAGCTTTGGTTTAGTCCAGTTGTGCTGACTTCCCCTGTAGTGTGTGCTGTCCTTCCCTTTGCCTAAGATGATTCTTATCTACTATCTAGTTAGTAAATAACCCTCATCGTATCATTTTTTTAAAAAAATAGTTGAAATAAGCAAGTTTTTAGCCACTCAGAGCCTGTCTGCGTTACTTACCTCATGAAACTGCCCTCCAGTCTGCTAGCTCTTGGTAAGATAAAACCCCGTGGTCACAAGAACCCTAGTAAGCTGCTGTCCTTTGGTGCTCTCCACCCTGACTCCCCACCTTGCTGCAGGAGGGCATCGCCAGTGGGCACTCCCCCTCAACCCCCCAACTCCTCCTCTTCACCAGGATTTTCATGTCCCCTTCCCCTCTGGTGGGTCCCTTTGTGAAGACCTCCCGCTGTGGAGGACCAACTCTCGCGTGCCCATGGCCCCAGTCAATGGTTTACTGTGCACTACTGCTGGCTCCTGGTCCTATCTTTTTCCTTGACCACCTCCAAACTCCCTCGAACCAACTACACTTAGGTCAGCCTCTGTCTTAGTTCAAACACCCCAAGCCTTTGTATTTGCTCTTTCTTAAGAGGGTTCCACTTACCTTTCAGGCTTAGGCCAAATGTCCCCTGCTGACCTCCCATCTCCCTCACTTACCCCATTTCTTAGCGGCCATTCCCTACCCCAATACTATGTTTTAATATCTTCATTGCACTTACCGGTATCTAAAATCATTATTTATTTTTGCTCATGCCTATTTCTCCCCTAAAATGTAAGCTCCACAGGGGGAAGGACCTGTCTTGTTCCCTCTGTCCCAGGATCCAGAACACTGTGGGGCACACGACAGGCGCTCAAGGGATATATGCTGAATGCATGAAGAAAGGGCATTTTCGATTGCCCAGGTGATACAGATTCACTTTCTGTGCATTACTGTAACATCAAGCTCAGCACCAACCATAAATAGCTACCACCTGCACAATACCTGGCCCAGGGTGCCCTGAGAGACCCGTGCTGGCTGAAGGGATGCTGCAGCATCTGGTACAGCGGGATTAGGTCCAGCAGCCACCTTTATAAGATCCGTAAGGCTCATAGATGAACAATGTGTATGTTATGGGTTGAACAGTGTCCCTAACAGGACATGCTGAAGTCCTAACCCCGGTACCTGTGCATGTGACCTTTTTGGGAACTAGGGCCTTTGGAGATATCTGTTAACATGAGGTCACAGTGGAGTAGGGTGGGATGTAATCCAATATAAGTGGTGTTCTTATAAAAGAGGAGGACAGACAGACAGACACACGGGGGAAGAAGGCCCAGTGACACAGAAGGCAGAGATTGGAACAATGCATCTATAAGCTAAGGAATGCCAAGGATTGGGAATCCCTGTATGGAGCAAACTGTTAAGAGCTCAACTACTGGCCAAAAGGTTGGTGGTTTGAACTCACCTACAGGTACCTTGGAAGAAAGGTCTAGCAATCTGCTTCCGAAAGATCACAGCCTTAAAAATCCTATGGAACATAGTTCTATTCTGCATACATGGGGTCTCCATGAGTTGGAATCAACTCGACAGCAAGTAACTTGAAAGAAGTGAATGATCTTCCTGGCTTTAGATAGTGAAGAATGAAAATAGCCCATAAAAAGGAACGGCAAAAATTGTCAGAAGCCACCAGAAGCAAAGAGAGAGGCATGGAACAGACTGCCCCTCAGAACCTCCAGAAGGAACCAAACCTGCTGACACATTGATTTCCAACTTCTGGCCCCCAGAACTGTGAGAGAATACATTTCTGTTGTCTGAAGCCACCCAGTTTGTAGTAAATTGTTAGGGCATCCACAAGAAAGTAATACTATGCATAAAGAGCTAATTATGTTAGAATAAACAAAAGCTCAAAGATAGAATACTGCTTAAGGGAAGGAAGAAACATCAGTAATTATGGGTTAGAGGTGAAAGGTCAGACAATTTGAGTTATCGTGTTATACTGAAAGAGAACGACGTGGTTCTACAACAGCCTATGACACTTAGTGGAGTCCTTGGGTGGCACAAGCAGTTAAGCACTCGGATGCTAACTGAAAGGTTGGTGATTTGAATCCATCCAAAGGCACCTTGGAAGAAAGGCCTGGTAATCTACTTTTAGAAATCCTATGGTGTACAGTTCTACTTTGACACACAAGGGGTCACCGTGAGTCAGAGGTGAATTGACAGCAAATAGTTTAGTCAGTTTTTTTTTTTTTTAAATGGCATTTAATAACGTTGACCAAATCAGGAGCTGAACTGAAAACCTGTGTGGACTATGAGCTAGAGGGAACCTTCCAGGCCTGGAAGAGGCAAGTCCTTCTCCTGTACTTACAGACTTCCGGCAGGCTCTGGAGGCGAACATCTGCCGGACTCGGGAAGGTCGGCACATAACCCCAGGGCAGTCACTCAGCATAAAGATCAGCTCATCTATGTCCTGGGGTCCGAAGGTCCAGTTTTTACTAGTTGGCAAGGAAATCAACTTAACTCTTTCAGTGACCGGAGCTAAAAGAACAAAATTCCGGGAGCAGTCTGTTATTTGAAAAATGCAAAGAGCAAAGATACGCAGGGGGGTTAGGAGGGCATAGGAACTCTGTACTTTCTGCACGATTTTTCTGTAAACCTAAAACTGCTCTAAATAATAAAGTCTATTTTAAAAACACATTTCATTTGAATACTAACTGTACTGAACATTTGAAAGAGAAGCCAGAAACAAAATGCTTTTTTTGGGAAGCTCTTTCATGTCTTACATAACACAAAGAGACTGATCTCTACGACCTCGAAGATTGTTCCCAGCTCTAAAAAGACACGATTATATAGTCTTCAATTTAACTTACCATCTTCATCAATTATAAAGTCAAAGCCATTCTTTCTGAAAATTTCCAGATTTTCTATCAGAACAGCTGCATTGACTGCAGTTAAATTGAGAGTCTGAGGTCTGAAAAACAGAGAAAAGTCAACCTGTATCTTGACATCAAACATTTCACTATAAAGCAGAAACAAAAGTAAAACAACACTGTGATACTTTGAATTCATTCCAAAAAGCAAAGTGAATACCTACACTCTATTCAGCTAAGTGCCCTTCCTGTCACACAACTTTCTGGGAGTTTCCTTTTAATTTTCTAAATTCTTTCCAGAAGAAGTAGCAGCAGAAACAATTTTCGCTTTCTGCCATCTTTCCTGCTGAACTGGCCTTTTTTTGGATCATCTCCTTAATACAATAACATAAAAAACACCATTTTTCCTCCTTACAGTAAGGATGATTTGAAAAGTTGAGTTAGGCCACGATAGGCATTTAAAAGCAGAATAAATATGTTTTGTTTTGCTATCCTGCTCCTTCCTCAGCCTGCATCATTTATCCATCCACCGATCTCTCCTCCTGGATTTTAAGCAACCAGATGCTGATGAGTTGATTCTGACTCATGGTGATCCCATGTGTCTCAAAGTAGAACTGTGCTCCATAGGGTTTTCAATGGCTGCCTTTACAGAAGTAGATTTCCAGGCCTTTCTTCTGAGGCACCTAAAGGTGGACTCAAACATCCAACCTTTTTGTTACCAGTGGGGCACAACTGTTTGCACCACCGAAGGCCTCTGTCTTAGGCTGAGTTCTTTGTTTCTGTTGTTGTTAGGTGCCGTCGAGTCGGTTCCAACTCACAGCGATGCTACGTACAACAACAAAACACTGCCTGGTCCTGAGCCATCCTCACAATCATTAATATGTTTGAGCCTGGTGTTGGAGCCACTGTGTCAATCCACCTTGTCAAGGGTCTTCCTCTTTTTCACTGACCCTCTACCTTACCAAGTATGATGTCCTTCTCCAGGGACTGGTCCCTCCTGATAACATGTCCAATGTGAGATGAAATCTCACCATCCTTGCTTCCAAGGGGCAGCACTCATTTTTGATGACTTCCATTTTTCCTAGATTCATACTTCGTACATTCCACATTCCGATAATTAATGGATGTCTGCAGCTGTTTCTTCTCATTTTGAGTCGTGCACATCAGCAAATGAAGGTCCCGAAAGCTTGACTCCATCCACGTCATTAAGATCGACTCTATTTAGGGCAAGCAGCGTTTCCCCAGTCATATTTTGAGTGCATTCCAACCTGAGGGGGTCATCTTCCAGCACCATATCAGACAATGTTCTGCTGCTATCTATACATTTTTATTAGCCAATATTTTCAGTAGCAGACCTTCAGGTTCTTCTTCCTAGTCTGTCTTAGTCTGGAAGCTCTGCTGAAGTCTGCCCATCATGGGTGACCCTGCTGGTATTTGAAATACCACTGGCATAGCTCCCAGCATCACAGCAACACGAAAGTCACCACAGTATGACAAACTGGCAGACGCACAGTGGCGGCTGGGTTCTCTAGAGAAGCAAAATCAGCAACATGTATAGAGATTTATCTCAAGGAAATGGCTCACGTGGTTGTGGAGGATGGCAAGTCCCAAATCCTTGGGTCAGGCATCAGGTTGGAGGCTTCTCCTGACTCACACAGGTGCAGGGGCTGACAAACCCAAGATCGACAGGTCAGACAGAAGGCTGCTGGCTCACAGACTGTGGAAGCTGATGAATCCCAAGATCAGCAGGCAATACAGCAGTCTGCTGGCTCAAGTCCCAGGAACCTAAGCTCAGATGATGATGATGCAGGATCCAGGGCAAGCAAGTAAGCTTTGCCAGAATGTCCACATATAGATGCAGGCCACACCCCATGGAAAATCCTCTTACATCGGATTGGCTGATTACATCAGATCACATCACGGAGGATGACTACATCATTATATAACCGCCAAACTACATTATTACTGTTTTAGTCAGCTAGTGCTGCTATAACAAAAATACCACAAGTAGATGGCTTTAACAAAGAGAAATTTATTCTCTCACAGTCTAGCAGGCTACAAGACCAAATTCAGGGCATCAGCTCCAGGCGAAGTCTTTCTCTGTCAGCTCTGGAAGAAGGTCCATGTCATCAGTCTTCCCTTGGTCTACGAGCTTCTCTGCGCAGGAACGTCAGGTCCAAAGGACACGCTCTGCTCCCGGCACTGCTTTCTTGGTGGAATGAGGTTCCCGTATCTCTCTGCTTGCTTCTCTCTTTTATATCTCAGAAGAGATTGGCTTAAGATACTATCTATCTCATAGACCTCATCAATATAACTGCCACTAATCCATCTTATTACACCATAGTGATAGAGTTTACAATACATAAGGAAATCACATCAGATTACAAAATGGTACACAATCATACAATGCTGGCAATCATGACTCAGCCAAGTTGACAGATATTTTTGGGTGACACAATTCAGTCCATGACAATTATATAGCTGCCAAACACCATCATTACATAACTGCCAAAACACTGAGAATCGTGGCTCAGCCAAGTTGACACACAACTTTAACCATCACAGCCTCCCTTCCTGGATTTACTGAGTGCTTCATAAGACAAACACTGCGAAAGGTAGGCGACAGAATGGTGAGCAAACACAGACTGGGTCACTGCCCTCACAGAACTAATGGTGCTTCACAAGACAGACACTGTGAAAGGTAGCTGATGAAACAGTGAGCAAACACAGACTGGGTCTCTGTCCTCATGGAACAAGTAGATCTGGTGGGGAAGAAAGACATCAGTCAAACAGTCATATAAGTAAATCATAATTACAAGCTATAGTGAGAGGAAGAAAAGACACCCAGCACACTAACAGCACACAACAAGTGAGACTGGACCTGGAGATGGGGTCAGGGAAGGTCTGAGGAAGTGACCTCTAGCCTGAGACCTGGAGGTGAGTCGGAGTTAGTTAGGTAATGGGGAGAGGGGGACAAGTTTCCAGGTAAAGAACGGTTTAGGCAAAGGCCCTATGTTGGACCTGTGGGATTTCCAGAGCTATCCATATAGTCCTACTTCGTCCTTCTGAATGGACATGTAGGACTTCATGGGGTTTGTCAAGGGAAAATGAAAGACGGCCAGAGAGGCTCAAGTATAGGAAGGAAGGGGAGAAGGGTTAGGAAAGGCCTTAAAGGATAGGACAGAATGCTGGTCTCGATCTTCAAATCTTGACATGCAGTCCCTCTGGGATCCAAAATGTCTTGGGATTCTCTGGGTCAACTTGAAACACCACAAAACTAGACCTTATTTATGCAAAATGGCTAAAAAATAAAAGGGCAGGAATATTCTAGTATTATAAGGGAACTTACTAAATGTCTTTACTATTACCATTTATTTACTCCTACTGAAAATCACAACAATTAATGCATTCCAGAGGAAATAAATTACTCAGTAAAGCAGGCACATTCTCCAAGCTGAGTGGCTGCTTTATGAACCATTTCTTCATACTGGGGTCTACTTCTGTTGGGATTCAAGTTTATTTTCCCATGTAGTTTAATTTCCCGACCGAACATCCATGATCTCTTCTCATTTCTTTGCTTAAGAAAAGACTTTTGCTTTGCATGACGTACCATCAGACCACCTGGTAACGTGGTCAGTGTGAAACAGTCAATTTGGCAAAAGACAGAGAAATTTCATATTGTGCAATGACAATGTATCCACTGAGCTTCACTAACAGATGAGGACCGACACACAGCCTGATGACGTCTTCCTGAACATAAATTCTATGGACTATAAATACTAAGTATTATAGGCGTCCCTAAAGGAGCCCTGGTGGCGCAGTGGTTAATTGTTTGGCTGCTAACCAAAAGGTCGGCAGTTTGAACCCACCAGCAGCTCTGCAAGAGAAAAGACCTGGCAATTCGGTCCCATAAAGATTACAGCCTAGGAAACCCTATGCGGCAGTTCTCTTCTGACACATGGGTTCATTATGAGTTGTAACTAACTTGACAGCACACAACAACAGTAACGTAGGAATCCCTGGGTGATGCAAACAGTTAATGCATTCAGCTACTAACTGAAAGGTTAGAGGTTCGAGGCCACTCAGAGGCACCTCAGAAGAAAGGCCTGGCAATCTGTGTTGCTGTTGTTAGGTGCTGTCAAGTCGGTTCCAACTCATAGCGACCCTACGTACAATACAATGAACACTGCCCGGTCCCGTACCATCCTCACAATCGTTGTTATGTTTGAGCCCATTGTTGCCTCCACTGTGTCAATCCATCTCGTCGAGGGTCTTCCTCTTTTTTGCTGACCCTCTAGCAAGCATGATGTCCTTCTCCAGGAACTGGTCCCTCTTGGTGACATGTCCAAAAAGTACATGAGACAAGTCTTGCCATCCTTGCTTCTAAGGAGCATTCTGGCTGTACTTCTTACAAGACTTACTTGTTCATTCTTCTGGCAGTCCATGGTATATTCAATATTCTTTGCCAACACCATAATTCAAAGGTGTCAATTCTTCTTTGGTCTTCCTTATTCATTGTCCAGCTTTCACATGGATATGCGGCAACTGAAAATATCATGGCTTAGGTCAGGTACACCTTAGTCTTTAAAGTGACATCCTTGCTTTTTAACATTTTAAAGAGGTCTTTTGGAGAAGATTTGCCCAATGCAATACGTTGTTTGATTTCTTGGCTGCTGTTTCCATGGGTGCTAATTGTGGATCCAAGTGAAATGAAATCCTTGACAATTTCGATATTTTCTCCATGTCATGATGTTGGAAACCCTGGTGGCGTAGTGGTTAAGAGCTATGGCTGCTAACCAAAAGGTTGGCAGTTCGAATCCACTAGGCACTCCTTGGAAACCCTATGGGGCAGTTCTACTATGTCCTATGGGGTCGCTATGAGTCAGAATCAACTCGACAGCAATGACTTTGGTTTGGTTTGGGTCATGATGTTGCTTACTGGTCAAGTTGTGAGGATTTTTGTTTTCTTTATTTTGAGGTGCAATCTACACTGAAGGCTGCAGTCTTTGATCTTCATCAGTAAGTGCTTTCAAATCCTCTTCAGTTTCAGCAAGCAAGGTTGTGTCATCTGCGTATCGCAGGTTGTTAATGAGTCTTCCACTAATCCTGATGCAGCATTCTGCTTCAGACAGTCTAGGTTCTCAGATTATTTGCTCAGCACACAGACTGAATAAGTATGGTGAAAGGATACAACCCTGACACACACCTCTCCTGACTTTAAACGACGCAGTATTCCCCTGTTCTATTTGAACAACTGCCTCTTGGTCTATGTACAGGTTTCTTATGAGCATGATTAAGTGTTGTGGAACTCCCATTCAGTTAATATGCTCAGCTACTAACCAAAAGGTTGGAGGTTTGAGGTGCCACTCAGAAGCACCTCAGAAAAAAGATCTGGCAATCTATTTCTGAAAAATCAGCCACTGAAAACCTCATGGAGCACAGCTCTACTCTGACACACATGGGGTCACCGTGACTTGAGGTCAACTTGACAGCAACGGGTTTGTTTTATTTTTATGTACTATAAAAATTGCTTTAATTATTTACACCAACGACAAAAAAAAAAAAGTACCTGCTGAGGCTGCTTATGTACAACCAAAAACTATTACAGACAGACACGCATATAAACTATTAGATGTTAAATTTTTTGAGTGAAACTACACTGAAAATTCGGAACGCTGAAATGAACTCACGCGATAAGTCTCTGGCCCTGGAGAACGGTGTGCTGCTGCAGCATCTCAAAGTTGTATTTCTCATCTGTCGCATGCTGGTCCACTATGAAGATATCCGTGTTCAGTCTGGTTATTATAAATCCCAAGTTGAATTGACCAATGATTTCCATTTCTGCAAACATCGTTTTACTGCAGGCAGAGAATACACTAATTAATTATAAGGCATTTTAGAAGATTGATTTCTGATTATAAAACAAAACACTGTAATAAAAAATTCAGACAATAACACAAAATACAGAAAGTCCCTAATAATCCCACTTTCTAAAGAAAGCATTATTCATTTATTCATCCAACTTTCCAAGACAACATTAGCTACTATTATTACCAAATTGGTGTACAGTATATCCTTCCATGGAGCCCTGGTGGCGCAACAGTTAAGTGCTCATCTGCTAACCAAAAGGTTGGCGGTTTGAACACACCCTGCGGCTCCATGGAAGAAAGAACTGGTTATCTGTTCCCATAAAGACTACAGTCTAGAAAACTCTATGAAGCAGTTCTATTCTGTCACATAAGGTTGCTATGAGTCAGAATCAACTAGACAACACTTAACAACAACACTACTATTAACATAAATTGGTGTGTATCCTTCCAGAGCTTTGTCTTTACGTTAAAAATAGTAATAATAAACAAATTTAAAAACATACATGGAAAACAAATAACACCTTGCTGAAAAACCACTGGATAACAGAAGAAATTAAAAATGAAATAAAAAAAAAATTCCTAGAATCAAATGAGAATGAAAACACAACATACCAAAACCCGTGGGACAGAACAAAAGCAGTGTTTAGAGAAAAATTCACAGCAATGAATGCACACATCAAAACAGAAGGGACAAAATCAATAGCTTAACCCTACAACTCAAACAAATAGAAAAAGAGCAGCAAAAGAAGCCCACTGTCACCATAAAAAAGGAAATAAAGATTAGAGCAGATATAAATGAAATAGAAAAAAACTACAGATAGAATCAACAAGACTAGAAGTTGGTTCTTTGAGAGGATCAATAAAATAGACAAACCACTGGCCAAACTGACAAAGGAAAAGAATGTGAAGATGCAAATAACCAAAATAACAAATGAGATGGGTGACACTACAACAGAACCAAGATAAAAAACATCACAACAGAATACTATGAAAAACTGTACTCCAACAAATTTGAAAACCTAGAAGAAATGAACAAATTTCTAGAAACACACTACCTACCTAAACTAACACAAACTAAAACAGAAAATTTAAAAAGACCCATAACAAAAGAAGAAATTGAAGACATCTTAAGAAGAAAAAAACTCCCAACAAAAAAAAGCCCCCAGCCCTGATGGCTTCGCAGGAGAATTCTACCAAACCTTCAAAGAACAGTTGACACCAATCCTACTCAAACTATTCCAGAACATAGAAAAGGAAGGAATACTCCTGAATTTCATTCTATGAAGCCAGCATAACCCTGCTACCAAAGCCAAGCAAACATACCAGTAAAAAAGAAAATTACAGACCAATATTCCTTATGAATATAGGTGTAAAAATTCTCAACAAAATCTTAGCCAAGAGAATTCAACAGCATATAAAAAAAATAATACACCACGACCAAGTGTAATTCATACCAGGTATGCACAATGGTTTAACATTAGAAAATCAACCAATGCAATTCATCACATAAATAAAACAAAGGAAAAGAATCACATGATCATCTCAACTGATACAAAAAAGGCATCTGATAAAGTCCAATATCCATTCTTAATAAAAACTCTCAGCAAAATAGAAATAGAAGGGAAATTTCTAAACATAATCAAGGGCATACACACAAAACCAACAGCCAACATTATTCTCAATGGAGAAAGACTAAAAGCATTCCCCTTGAGAACGGGGACTAGACAAGGATGCTGTTTATCACCACTTTTATTCAATATTGTACTGGAAGTCCTAGCTAAAGCAATCAGGCAAGACAGAGAAATAAAAGGAATTCAAATTGGTAAGGAAGAAGTAAACTATTACCATTTGCAGAAGACATGATCCTATACAAAGAAAATCCCAGAGAATCTACAAGAAAGCTACTGGAACTAATAGAAAGATTTAGCAAAGTGACAGGGTACAAGATTAACATACAAAATTCAGTTGGTTTCCTCTACACTAACCAAGAGAACTCTGAAAAGGAAATCAGGAAAACAATACCATTTACAATAGCCCCCCAAAAGATAAAATAACTCAGGAATAAACCTAACTAGGGATGTAAAAGACTTATACAAAGAAAACTACAAAACACTACTGCCAGAAACCAAGAGACCGGCATAAATGGAAAAACATAACCATGCTCATGGGTAGGAAGACTTAACATCGTGAAAATGATAATACTACCCAAAGCGATCTACAGATATAACGCAAACCCAATCCAAATACTAACAGCATTCTTTAACAAGATGGAAAAACTAATCACCAATTTTATATGGAAAGGAAAGAGGCCCTGGATAAGTAAAGCATTTCTGAAGACGAACAAAGTAAGGGGCCTCACACTGCCCAATCTCAGAACCTGCTATACAACCACAGTAGTCAAAACAGCCTGGTACTGATACAATAGACACATAGACCAATGGAAAAGAATTGAGAACCCAGAAGTAAAACCATCCACCTACAGAGAGTTAACCTTTGACAAAGGGTCAAAGTCCACTAAACAGGGAAGAGGTAGTCTCTTTAACAAATGGTATTGGCAAAACTGGATATCCATTCACAGAAAAATGAAACAGGATCCATACCTCACACCATATACAAAAACTAACTCAAGATGGATCAAAGACCTAAATGTAAAACCTAAAACTGTAAAGATTATCAAAGAAAAAAAAAGGGCAAACCTAGGAGCCCTAATTTATGGCATATATAGACTATCAAACATAACTCAAAAAGCACAAACAGGAGAAGATAAACTAGATAACTGGAGCCCCCTGAAAATCAAATACTTATGCCAATCAAAAGACTTTTCCCAAAGAGTGAAAAGGGAACCCACAGACTGAGAAAAAATTATTGGCTATGACATATGTGACAGGGGTCTAATCTCTAAAATTTACAGAAAACTCTAACAATTCAACAACAAAAAGACAAACCCAATTAAAAAATGGCAAAGGACATGAACAGATACTTCACCAGAGAAGACAACCAGGCAGCCAACAAATACATGAAGAGATGCTCATGATCATTAGCCATTAGAGATATGCAAATCAAAACTACAAGATACCATCTCACACCAGTAATAATGGCACTGATCAAAAAACAAAAAACAAATGCTGGAGAGACTCTGGGGAGTTTGGAAGTCTCATATACCGCTGGTGGGAATGTAAAATGGTATAACTATGTAAAACAATATGGTGCCTCCTGAAAAAGCTAGAAATAGAAATACCATATGATCCAGCAATCCCACTCCTAGGTATGTATCCTAAAGAAATAAGAGCCATGACATGAATAGACATATGCACACCCGTATTCACTGCAGCATTATTTATAGTAGCAAAAAGATGGAAACAGCCTAAGTGCCCATCAACAGATGAATGGGATAAACTAACTGTGGTACATACACACAATGGAATACTATGCAATGTTTAAGAATAATGAGGAATCCGTGAAACATCTCACAATATGGATGAATCTGCAGGGCATTATGTTGAGTGAAATAAATCAATTACAAAAGGACAATTATTACATGAGACCACTTATTATAAAAAGTCAAGAAAAAGTTGTCACACAGACAGATACATTCTCTGATGGTTACCAGGGATGGGAGGGATGGGAACAGAAAACCACTAACTAGACAGTAGACGCGTACTAACTTTGGTGAAGGGAGAGATAACACACTATATGGGGGAAGTCAGCACAACCTAATCAGGGTAAAGGAAGACACAGAAAGGTACAAAAGAGTAAAAGGCAACAATGGTAAATATTAATACATATACAATACTGCAAAAACAGTAATAACAATAAGGTATGAGTGGATACATAGGTAGATATGTAAGCTGAACAGAGGTGGGAGGGCATATGGAAGTACACCTACGTACATATATATGCGTACATACTGCAGATATACCCATGTATGCAATAGTGCGCACAGGAGACACAGTAATGAAAACTTCTTAGCCATAACTATACATGTCGCACAACTGACATACTGGGCTTATGTGATAGGCACCATAATCTCGGAGGATATGTAGGTCAACTGGCCTATCATAATCCATACAATGCTCTACATCCTACCTTGGCGAGTAGCAACTGGGGTCTTAAAAGCTTGCAAGCAGCCATCTAAGATACAATAATCAGACTCTTCCCTTCTGGAGCAAAGAAGAGTAAAGAAAACCAAAGGACTAATGGACCACATGAACCACAGCCTCCACTAGCTTGAGATCAGAAGAACTAGATGATGCCTGGCTACCACCACTACCAACTGCTCAGACCGGGACTACAATAGTAGGTCATGAACAGAGTGGGAGAGAAAAGTAGAACAAAATTCAAACTCATAAATATGACCAGACTTACTGGTCTGATAGAGACTGGTGCCCGAGACTATGGCCCTTAGACACCCTTCACACTTGAACTGAAATCACTCCTGGAGATCACAATATAGTCATACAATAGACAGGCCTATAAAACGAACAGTAACTCCAGCAAGGAATGTATACCTCAGAACAGTCAACAATAGAAGACCTAAACAGTAGCATTTGCCCAAAAGCAAAGTTCAAGAAAGCTTGGCAAATGGACGCAGGGAACCCAGAGAGGAAGAGGGGAAAGTGCTGATACATTCAGGGGTTTGCAATGTCACAATGTCACAAAACAAATTGTGTATAAACTGTTGAGTGGGAAACCCATCTGCTTTGTAAACTTTCACCTCAACAATAAAATGTTAAAAAAAAAAAAAGAACCGAACTATCAACAACTACTTTAAAACAAAGATGAGAATGTTAGGGGGCAGGGAAACTAGATTACTGGGAACAGAACAACCAGAAAGGAAATGCTGAGAATGTTCATGAATTGTGAAGATGTAACCAATTTCACTGAACAATTTGTGTAGAAATTGTTGAACAGGAATTTAAACTGCTGTGTAAACCTTCACTGAAAACATAATATTATTAAAAAATCAAACAAAAAAATGAAATATCCTT